AATATCTCGCAACTAGAGATTATTAGCAACTCAAGAAGAATCTTCTATCAAAATATTTATCAAGAATCTGTTTTTTCAAAAATTCAGAAAAGAGAGATTGATAAACACAAGATCGCCGGAAAACTAATTAGGCGGTGTTTTAAAATTTATACGAACACTTGAATTATTCAACTATAAGTTAACAAAGAAATACACCAACACACGCACTAAACTAACTTCCAGACACATGTCTAATAAAAAGAATAGACGGTTCAAAGCTAGGGATAAGAAACGCAAAATTGCTAACAATAAAGAAAAAAGAAAACGATACAATATATGCAGACAACATAGAAGACGACAATATAAAAACGCGGAAAAGTTACAAAAGGCTATAAAATATGTTGAAATTTTTACAAAAGAAAAACTATGTAATGCTGAAATACTAGTTCTAGCGAAAGGACTTAAATTCATTCCTAGTCCAAGACTTCAAAATGCAAAGAAAACTCTCATAAATGACTTCAACGAACTAGCCCGTAAAATGAGATGTAAATATCACTTTGATGACGGGTCTAACACATGCAATCGTCATCCATTTCTTTTAAAAAGTGGGTATAAACCAAGCTGGGCAAATAATGCAATTGAAAACTACTTATTTTCAACAAGAATTGAACTTGAGAAAATTCAATTAAATACATTTAAGGACAACCTATCAAAAAATGAAAGAATGGCACTGCAATCCTTACGTAAAAATGATCGTATTATAGTAAAGAAGGCAGATAAAAACTCATCAACAGTTGTTCTTGACAAAGACCTCTATATAAAAATGGCAATGAATCAGCTAAATGACAATATACACTATGAAACAATTAATGAATCTCACACAACGGAGATCGTGAACAGTATCAACACAATCATTTCTCGTTTACACAAGAACTCTTACATTGATAATGTCACACTAAAATTCCTAAAAAATGACGATGAAAGAAGATTGGGTAGACTATACTTCCTCCCAAAACTTCATAAAATTAATCAAAATAATAGAGAAAAGATCAAAGTTGATAAGAATTGTTTACTGAATATAGACGTTCCAGGAAGACCCATTGTATCTTTATGTAATAGCCCCTTAGAAAGAATTGCACAATAAATCGATTATTTTATTAAACCAGTTGTCAACCAATTTTGGACATACACACAAGATACAACTTCTTTTATAAACAAATTGGAAAAAATAAGAGCCTCTCCTGATATATTAATGAGTTCATTTGACATTTCTAGTATGTATACCAATCTACATCATACGGAAATTATAAACGCAATCGACAGAGCATGGCCGCTAATAATGCAATGTAAATTTGACATCCCGGTGCCTCCCAAAAAGGATATGTTAGAATTACTGAAAATTGCCCTTGGAAACAATGAATTTGAATTCAACGGGCAGATTTTTAAACAGAAAGTTGGAGTACCGATGGGGTCACCAATGTCTCCTAGTTTAACTGATATTAGAATATATGAAATCGTTTCTGAAATATTAAAACGGTTCTCACAATCGTCCGAAATTTCTCTTCTATCTGTCTACAGAGATGACGGTTTTTTATTATTCAAAGGAAGTGAACAAGCGCTTATTGAATTTTACCAGATTGCAAATAGTATTCATCCATTGTTAAAATTCACATATGAAATTTCTAATAGTCAAATACAATTTTTGGACGTAACAATATTTAAAAGGAGATAGATTTAAAACGGAACAAATATTAGATATCAAATTATATCGCAAACCTACGGATAACTTCCAATATTTAGATAAATCATCAGCTCATCCCGCCTCTGTATTTAAGGGATTTATAATTGGCGAAGTTACACGGTTCATTCGATCGTGTAATAACAAAGATGACCTCGACACACAGATCAAACTATTTAAACACAAGCTTATACTCAGGGGACACAAGGAAAATGAAATTAATCCACTAGTTAATAAAGCACTACGAAAAAGTAGGCAAAACACATTATGTTATAAAACAAAAAACAAACAGAAAAGTCCACCACTAGTCATAGCAACGAAATTTAATCCTTTATTAAGCAGTTGGGAAGACGAATAAGAAAACACTGGCATTTGATTGAAGACGACGAGACCGCTCAACATCTATTTCCCAGACCGCCTATCATTGCTTATCGTAAACACAAGAATGTGAAGGAGTACTTGACCTCGGCAAAATTATAATGTAATTAGATAAAGAATGGACATTAAACTATAAGTGTATTACAGATTCATCAGGTGTAGTGCCCCAAAATGTAACTGCATTTGATACGTTACACGATAGAAACATATTGATAACAATTAAAAAAGTAATTAAAATCAAATGTTATAGTAAATAAACATAAATTAGGCCAGGGCACCTGACGAGGATGAACGGCCTTGGTCAAACTTGACCTAAATGATATCCGAAACACCAGGTGTAATATCATCAAATTAAAGAAATTCATAGACGACCAGTTGATACCACAGATCATTTACGTTGGGAAAATCCTTTCAAATAAATAGATGTGTAAAAGTTTATAATTAACCACAGAACAATCTACCGAGAAAAGGTCAAATCAGGTTTCAACAGTTAAAGATAATATATATAATTAAAGTAAATATATATAAGCGAAACATGCTATATATATGAACCACCAAATCATGCATAAACAGAACAATAACAGAATAAAACTGTAATTAAAGACAAACATGTAAATGCATATAAAATTGCATATAAAGTATACACAGCGATACATGGAAAATCATTATAGAAACTCGATACAGACAAGAAATAAAATCTATAGACAATGGTATTAGTAAGTTTTGCTGGGATTGGTTCATGGACACGACTATTTATAAAATGTGCCCCAAAATGTAACTGCATTTGATACGTTACACGATAGAAACATATTGATAACAATTAAAAAAGTAATTAAAATCAAATGTTATAGTAAATAAACATAAATTAGGCCAGGGCACCTGACGAGGATGAACGGCCTTGGTCAAACTTGACCTAAATGATATCCGAAACACCAGGTGTAATATCATCAAATTAAAGAAATTCATAGACGACCAGTTGATACCACAGATTATTTACGTTGGGAAAATCCTTTCAAATAAATAGATGTGTAAAAGTTTATAATTAACCACAGAACAATCTACCGAGAAAAGGTCAAATCAGGTTTCAACAGTTAAAGATAATATATATAATTAAAGTAAATATATATAAGCGAAACATGCTATATATATGAATCACCAAATCATGCATAAACAGAACAATAACAGAATAAAACTGTAATTGAAGACAAACATGTAAATGCATATAAAATTGCATATAAAGTATACACAGCGATACATGGAAAATCATTATAGAAACTCGATACAGACAAGAAATAAAATCTCCTATAGACAATGGTATTAGTAAGTTTTGCTGGGATTGGTTCATGGACACGACTATTTATAAAATCTTAATTTGTCGGAGTGAAAAAAAATCGACAACAGATTTATTTAGTCCTACCCCATTGCAAGTTAAATCAGTAGCATAGATGATGATCCAACTCGCGAGTCTTCCCCGATCGAATCATTTGACCATTGATCAGGTAAGTTATTTAATTTTGTGTGAGAATGATTTCTAGTATATGAGGGTCTGGATGAGGTTTTATAGAAAACAGAAAAATGCCATGAAATTAATTTAAAGTTAAAGAATAGAGATTTAAAATAGTGCTAAAATATAAAAGAAAGGAAAATCAAATTATGGGCGAAAATAATTTAAAATAAATATTTGAAGACCCCATTCAAACCCTAATTTATAACCGTAACGTCTAAAATTGAACCATCGTTGTGTGTCGACATTTTCCCCTACATGTAGAACTTCAAATACACAGAGTTTCATTGACTATGGTACCAATCAAAATAAAATATACATCAATCAACATGCACAGAGAATAATTTATATGTTGCGGTTCTCAAGTTTTATTCTCGCTATTTGAAATTTATAGTTTTCACTAGCAGGGAATTTGAAATATTTAAAGGAGTCACTAATTCCAGAGAAATATTCATTATATGTCTGTTAGTTCATACATTATGTCAGTTTATATATAAAAATTTCAACCAAATACTGTTCTCATTCAGCATGAAGACTTCAGAATAACGCAAATGTTAGTACTTCGCCGGTTGTCATTTTCATCGTGAATGGAAAAAAGTTCAAAACCATTTAATAATTTGAAGACCTTCCAGGACGAAACACAGCCAATACAAGTGCCGTGGTGCACTTTACTTGTAGCATGTGTTTATCTCTTAGTTTATTAAGAAATTCTGCTGTTCAATCCGTCCGTCGTTTTGTGATGATTATCTATAATTCGTTGATTCGTGACCCACGACCAAGCGAGTAAATGATCATCACAAAAAGTATTTCAAATAAACCTTAATCGTTGCGTTTGTTTTTCTGTATTGAAAATTCTGTATAGGTTTCTTCTGGCCATCGAACATTGTCATGTTTTCCTTCTGATATAACGTTAAATCTTATGTCACAGTGAGGTACAGCCACCTATATTAGAGTACGACGGCTTGAAATATTTCGGCAGATTAGGCTTTTGAGCAAGATTTCAGTTACTGTTAGCAAGTCAGGAAAATAACTTGTCAATGGTTGTCTTATGTGATATCTTCACGTGTTTTGTTATTTTTATAACTTTGAGTTGACCGTAGATTAGATAGTATCGGTTTAAATCATGCACAACTTTCTATAGACTCAGGACGATTTTGAACTTCACATATCCGTCTCCTGTATTCGTAAAGAATTTTAAATCTGGGAAGTTCACTGAAAGGATTTGATTTGAAAAAGTGGTAAATGCTTTTGAGAAGATTTATGTATTCATCTGAACATTGAAAATGATGCAGGTACCAGAAATCAACTAATAAATCGGAAGTATAACTTAGTGTAAGGCATATTAACCATTATTATGATGAAATAAAATTAAACAACTATTATTTTTAATAGATTCTTCTTGTTCAAATTGTAAAAACCTCGATAGCTTCTGGGGGGCTGCGCCCCCAGACCCCCTGCGTCGGTAATTACAGAAGGCAAGCTACGCCACTGCACGTAATAGATTTCGATTTACATAATCTATGTATAACTGGTAAATCGTTAAGTCCTACATTTCGTTACCACATATTAATTAATTTTTTACCAAAATGTTTCTTAGGTACGAATATTTGATTTGGAAGTTTGGCTGTACATTTTTGTACCTTTTTAAGAACTCTTATTACAAATGGGATGTCGCATACTAATTTATATGATGATGTTGATTATAGAGCCCAGCAATTTAGATACAATCCATGTAAACATGATCAAGTTATTGGAGCTTATATGGTAATTAGATAATTCCCGAGTCCTTTGCAAGCTGATAAAATAATCCACCTGGATTTCGCAACAAATTTTCTGGGGTGTCAAACTGAATTATCTTTCCATTATCGAGTACCATAATTCTGTAAAACATAAAATTAGAATCATTAAAAACATTCGTATGATTATATTCGTTTAATATGAACATTCAATAGTATCGCATATTCTTTCTTTTTCTTACAAAAAAGAGATATGTAGTACAGGTTTTACTTACAGAGTACATGAGTTATTTCTTTTGATTTTTGTCTTTGGGATTGTTTGGGCGGATATTCTATTTTGATGTTTTAACTGCTTGTATCTGTCATAAGCTTGTGTATATTTTGACCTATTATCGGATTTTCGCTTTCATTGAAAGGGTTTAAGGGTGAGCAAAATATATACATTTATTTTATTTGAAAATATCGCGTTGTTAGACAACAACCCTTTTATGAAGCATTATAAGCGACCATGAATTTCAAGAGACGTGGTTTTTAGGGGTTCTTGTTGTTCTCATATCATGTCTTCTGTGTAGTAATGTGTGGGCTATTAGTTATATTGTCGCCACTATTCTTTCGGCTATGATGATTTCTGTCCTTCTTTGATGCATCAATTGACTCCTTAGGACCATCTAACTTACAGTTTATAAATATAAATAAATTAATTTCGATCACATGGACCTTCTTAAAAAGTTCATGTTAAGGAAGCTAAAGACGACAAAGAGATAAAATAGGAGACAGCCTAAGCTCTGAATAGGCGAATTGTGTTCTGTATTTGATATTTTATTGTATTTGACATTTCATTGTAATTGACATTTCATTTTGCTTCGAACGTGATTTAGACCTGACAAAAAAGTTTAAATGTGATCAAACAAGTTGACAAATTATGATGTACAGAATTTAAGTGCAGCTGGAATATGCATTTTATCCGAAAAGATTAGCTGCCGACGGACGTAGATCGTATACATCATTCATACATGATTTTCAGAAGAATGTATGTCTATATTGCTCTTAGGTCATGTATTCAACATACTGGATCGCCCTAGCCTAATATCATTTACACCAATAGAATGTTTCAGTTTATATCAAAGAATTGTCATTGAACTAAAACTACTAGTATTTAAATCTAACAGTTTTATAAGCTTAAGGGTATTGGAAGGTGACGATAAACTATTGCACTTTAACTGAAAAGGGATTTGCAATTAAACTTAAGAACACGTCATCATATGACATAATAACCTGTTATAGTCCATAACTGTATTAAGACGATGGGCAATAGTAAGAACAGTACATTCTGAAAATTCCTCTCTTATTGTTTGTTGTATTAATGCATCCTTTTCCATATCAACCGCAGCAGTGGCTTCATCTAATATCAGTATCTTTGATTTCCGGAGAATGCTTCTAGCAAGTGATATAAGCTGACGTTGTCCAATGCTAAATTGTAAAAAACGTAAACAAAATATTGTGTCCTTACCAATGTAAAAAAAAAACATCTTGCATGTGTTGTCTTCAATATTTTTCTATATTTCAAAACATCATAGAAATCAACTAACTTTTTATTTGAAAATAAATTATTTTAAATGCTTCTAAGAATATAAAACTCCGATGTGAAAAAAGGAACATATAATCAATCTAAATGATAAATGAAATGGTGGGTTTGAAAAATCCTTTGAAAAAAAGTGAGGCGGAAGACACGATAGGGATTATCAAACTCATAAGACGAAAACGAACTGACAATGCGATGGCATGCAAAAAACGAAAAAACGACCAAAAGATTAACAGCAGTCTTCTAAACAATATAAAAATAAAGACTGAGTACAACAAACTCAATCAAAGCCCGGGGCGATCTCAGGTGCTCTGGATGTGTAAGCACATCCTGCTCCTTATATGGCACTCGTCGTGTTACCCATTTGAGTACAAACCCGGTGATGAGTCAAATGCGGTAGGTCACATTCGAGGAAAAGAGGACTGGTTTACTCCAATATTTTCTATCATCATTCTCGAAGGTCAACTTTGGAACCAGTTTGTTTTTATAAAAGTAGTAGACATACTCTTATAGTTGATAGCACTATATCAACTGTTATGCATATATACGTCTTTTCTCATGTTATTTTGTCTTCTGTCTTCTAATATATTTGTATGCAGTTTTTCATAATCTCTTTTTCTTCAGTCTCTGTATCCGAGATGTTTTGATATATTTTAAGGAATCAAGTTTTATGCAGTTGATTTGACTTAACCTTATGAAATGAAAGCCTTGTCAAAAAGAACAAAGAATACGGTTTTTTTTACAATTTATACTATTAAGGGCAGACAACTTTGTGAAATGGAATGTGAAGTTATTTAAACCTAAATAAACTCATCATAGATACCAGGATTAAAATTGTGTACGCCAGACGCGCGTTTCGTCTACAAAAGACTAAATAAAAAATTTAAAAAGACCAAATAAAGTACAAAGTTGAAGAGCATTGAGGACCAGAAATTCAGCAAGGTTTTGCCAAATACAGCTAAGGTAATCTGTTCCTGGGGTAGAAAATCCTTAGAATTTTTAAATATTCAAAATTTTGTAAACTGGTAATTTATAATTATGACCATATCAATGATAATTGATGTCAACACAGGAGTGCTGACTACTGGGCTGGTGATAACATCGGGGAGGAAACCTCCACTAGTAGTGGCATCGACCCAGTGGTTGTTAAGATACCAGGAATAAAATAATTAGCAATTTGTTGTCGTCTGGTAGTTAAATGGCTGCTCATCCTTTAACTGGATTTTTTTTTAAAAAGAGTGTTCTCAGTATAATCCGTTTAGTCTTCAAAACAGTCAAGGAGAAACAAAATAGGAAAAGCTGTGTTCAAAAGTACCTGAGATTCTGGCCTCCCTCTCCGCTATCATAATCGAGTTTAGAAGGTAAATGCTGTATAAAATCCTTTATATGTGCATGTTCTAATGCTCGCCATATTTGCTCATCAGAGTGGTGTCCCATTGGATCTATGTTCATGCGGAGACTTCCAGAAAATAGAAGTGGATCCTAAATGTATTTAAAACGTTTTCACATTAAAATCTGTATTTCAACGTGTATCAGTTTAATCCTACAATCTAATAATTCCTAAATGTATAAGACATTTGAATCTGATGGTCAAAGTACAAACAAAAAAATTAAGAAAATAATCATCCTAAACTCTTAACATACGTTTTGTAATAATACATGTTTTGTTAAATATCATTGTTTTCGAAATCTGAAGCAAAAAATCTACATATATTAGCCTTATGGCCCATTCTGATACTTTTTTTTATTTCCGTTAACGTAATGATATAAACAGTGTTATATGTCCGTAAAAAATTGATGCCACAATATTTTTGTAAGAAACCTGTGCCTTTCCAAAGAAATGGATAACAAGATTCACTTAAAATCAATTAGGGATGTTTCCCTTTTAAAACAGTTTAGGTCGTGGTTCAAATTTTCATCAGATAACATTAAAACAAAGAAAAACCAAGTTAGCCCCATCCATATAACTTATACATTCTCATTCAGATATTACATTACTCTTTTTTTCTTTTCTATAAGTAATTCTTGTCACAACACTATGTCCGTGATTAAAAACACTGATTAACCAAATAGTTCTGTGAAAGCAAGACAACCCGGAATGTGTCCTTCAACGGAAAATTTAAAAGTGTAGTTATTCCCCTTTTGCCACAAAGTGATAACTTTAACGGGAAAACTGTAGTAGTTTTTTCTTCTTAGGCGACAATACTAACATTCGTAAATATACTACTTTATAATGATAAACAGCTGCGCCACGAGCGCATGATACGCCCGTCGTCTTGTGAAAAAAAAACCATAATAAATGTTTTTGGAATAACACGGGGTTGAACAGGAAGTCATGCTAAGTATATCCTGACTCATTCCTCTGAAATCCCCCTTTATTTAGTGGAGCTGATGGTGGGATGTATATGGAAACTCGGCAAAACATAAGCGTGTAAACATTTAAGCAATAAAGATACGGCGACAAAAAATGACTACCTTTTTAACCAAACAAAAAGCGTACCTTTTTTTACCAAAAAGCTCAATAAAAATTCAATAACTCAAAATTAGATAAAGAATCATCACGAAAAAGTATACAGATCTTCAGATTAATATAACTAACAAGTGTGTGAAGTTTTGTGCAATAATCATAAATAGTTTCTGAGATACGGCGCGACATGTGAACCCCCCCCCCCTTTTTTTTTACAAAAATAACTCTAAAATAAAATTTTGAATCATCACCAAAAAGTATACAGATCTTAAGATTAATATAACTAAGAAGTGTGTAAAGTTTTAAGCAATAGTCATAAATCGTTTTTGATATACGGGGCGACGTGTGAAAAAAACACACCCCTGTTTTAGTTACAAAGTCAAAAAGTTTTAATCTTATTTCCACCAAAAAGTATACAGATCGTTTGACCATCATAAGAAACAACTGTGTTAAGTTTCATGAAATTTGGATAAGTTGTTCTCACGGTACGGTGCGACATGTTTACGCCGGACAGACGGACGCCGGACATTTGTATACCATAATACGTCTCGTCAAAATTTTGACGGGCGTATAAAAACCTGGACAAAACAGTAATGTGTGATATTAGTCTTTATCATTCTATTTCAGAAGTTGAAGTCAAATAGAGACATGACCAACTAGGAACGGATCATGTTTGTTGTACCCTTTCCCACGGTCATTTAACATAAAATGTATGAACATTTGATAGCCTTTTCGAATAAATCTCTACAAAAATATTTCAATGTGTTTCAAAATTTTTCTGTTGTAAATATATACACTGTAGGTATTCATAAATAAATAAATAATATATATTATATACCCTTACATCCAATCACAGCGCTCCTAAGTTGACTTCCTTCACCTGCCTTGGGTACACAAAAGACCAATATAAAGCCGGGAAAATGTAAAACAACTTTTTGCCCTATATGTTACATATTTAAATTTTACATTAAATCTTAGATTTTGGACCATTAGGATAATTAGTGTTTTAATATAATACAAAAAACTGAATTTTGTCATTCAAATTTAAATTAAATTAAAACAAATTTAAGTATTTTGGGATTGGTGTTGATAGGG